CAATAAGAGGATTCCTATGGTCAAGGTATTATGGCAGCACAACACTCTAGAGGAGGCGACTTGGGAAGTGGAAGGGGAAATATAGAAATAATTTTTCGTATTATTTTAGGAAGTTATTCAAATTTGGAGGACGAATTTTTATATGGTGAGGGATGTAACACCCCAAACTTTTGTGATAGATTGAGATAGCAAACTCTACTATTTTAAGTCCCATTGGTCATTTGAATAGTGTTAGTAGTTAAAACTCCTAGTATTTTGAATTATATTAATTTAAAAAATTTTATTCTTTTTTTTATTTTTCCAAAAATATTTTTCTTTAATAATAATATTTTCAAAGAAAACAGAAAGAGTCAAAAATTCGGCAAAATAGAAGGTGGGAAAAATCCCCGCAGTCTGCGACCCGTACCTATGAGACCGCAACCCTGCCTGCGGTCAGCCCCCGCTAGTATGGATGCATGCCTGCGCATTGTGTATGACTGTGTGTGCAGTACAAGCGCCTAGTGCACAACATGGGTGCACTTGCGAGCTGCAGTATGTTAGGCACAGGCCATGCACACGCATGTCATGCTCTGTGCACACACAACGCACGTCATGGCACGCCTGCACAGGCTACTGGCAACAAGCTTGTTGCCAGTCACTGGCCAGTCTGAAGTAACTGGTTGTCACATCAGATGACTCCTTGCCATGTGGGGCCCATAGCCACCAACCATGCCCCCATTTGACTTCTCCATTTTTGGCCAAGTGGTATGAATCCAACCTTCTATTTCTCTTTAAAAAGCATCTTCCCCTCTTCATTCTTCACCATTTCATTTTCTTCAATTAGAGAGAAAAAGAGAAGAGATTCTTAGAGACAAAAAAGTGAAAAGAAGTAGGAAGCTCACTCAATCCTTTTCTTCTTCATCGAGCAATGAATCTAGATGGTACGATTACGTTAAGGAATTCTTAGTATTTATACCTACATTTCTAAGTGCTCTTTTTAGTTAAATAATTGGGCAAAAAATTTGAAGAATTGTTGAAGTGGATTTTTCTATTTATTTTGGCTCATGGCTTTAGTGATTTATTTAGATCTATGAAGCTATTATCCTTAATAAAAATGATATAATGATGATTATGGGATTGGTTCTTTGTCTTACCGTTCTAAGGAGCTCTAATTTCAAGAAATACCCTGATGATCAAATTCGAAAATAATGGGCCTTTGGTCGAATATGTTGATGAGCCCCATCAGGTTCTAGATATGAAATAACAGCATGTGTGTGATAAATATGAAAATGCGATTGTCATAAAAGAGTGCCAAAAATAAAAGGGAAAAGAATAAAAATCCGTTTCACTGTTATCTCTGAGGGGTTTTTGTTGCTTCCTCCTCTGAATACTAGTTGGTGAACTGATTTATGTGAATGATTAGCGTTACACTCAGAAATATGAAATGAATTGGCCATTCCATATGGGTAGTCAGGAATCCGTATTGCCCTCAGTATATGGAAGTCAGAACAACTTTGCGCGAATAATAAAATGAAAAAAAGCATGTCATGATTTGTTTGATTCTATCTATTTTCAGTATGATTGATTTGATTGACATGATATGACTATGATATGATAGATTTGATGTTTTCTTTAATAAAGTAAATTATTTTCATAATTAACAAATGGACCTCTGACATGATTTCCTAATGGTGGGTAATGATGGTACCTTATTTCGGTGTTTAAATGACTTTGAAATCTTAGTGATATTATTTAAATATTATTTTTCTATGCCTCCCTTCACATGAGCGAGATAGTGAGGAACTAATCGTTGATCTACCCCTTGAAGCCTTTGAGGCTCCCATGGATCCATGAACCATTATGAGTGCATAATTTTCCTACACTCTGATAAGTCCATCTTTTGTCGATGCTGGAAATTAATTTTTTTACTACCTCAATATTGTATGGAACTCTAGTATTATTTTATAAGGAATTGTAATTATTTAGTCCATTGCATATAATTATTTTTATGCACCCGTAATCTGTTTCTGTATCTAGCACTCTCATGCTTAAATTAGTATTTAGGATGTCACATCTTTGTGCTTTGAAATTAAATCTGAAATAATTTCATGCTTTGAAAATTTAATTTTCGTGTTTAGGTGTTTAAAAAATAAATTAAGACCCTAAAATTATATTTAAAAAATGGAAAAAAGTGATTGAATGAATGAAATTTGAAATCCAGAAAAAAAGAACAAAAATAATTAAATTTTGAAACAAAAGATTAAATTGGAAACAAAATTAAAATTTTGGGGCCTTAAAATAATTATTTAAAAATTTAAAAATAATGAAAAACAAGAATAATAAATAAAATAAATTATTTAGGATCTTTTTGAAGTAAAATTCCTAAGTTAGGGCTATTTTATAATTAAAATGGACCAAATCAAAATAATTTAAAGTGACCAGGGGTCACTCTGCAATTTTTTATAAACGGGGCCGTACGTCATCTACTGACCTAGCAACATAACCTATATGGTCTCGCCACGTGACAGCTGCGTTAGCATGACATTCCATGCAAATTCAACACGCTGGAGATTCGCGTGTGGATGATTGAACGACCTCCACATTTTGATGAAGATCAGATGGTTGAGGATCTTTCACGCCTTTGGATGCAATGCAATGGCTCCTAGATGCGTAGAAGATGATGACTCTGATCGTGTGGCTGGCAAACAAGAGCTGATCAAATGACTGAGGTGCGTGTTGATTGATCGCACGGTCTACGAAGCAACTTGTGCAATTGATCTTGAAACAATCTGACGGCTAGAGATTTTAATGGTGCAGATGAGCGTGAGTTTGAAATCAATGGTGAAGAATCTTCAGATCTAATCCAATGGCTGAAAATTAATTAGGGATAGGTATTTAAAGGTCCCCTTCTTTCAACCCTTAACTCCAGCCACCATAAGAGAATTGAGAGGTTGAGAGAGGGTTACCGGATTTAGGATGAAGGCAGAGGAGCTAGGCAGAGCTGCCACTTCGGAAGAAGAAAACCGGCAAAGGTAAGCCAATTTTTTCCCATTTCGCTTTGTTTCCTCTTCTACATTAGATTTTATTAATTTTTATGCACATTTAGGAAAGAAAATCCATCCGAAAATGGTGAAAACCTTTAACTGAAGGGAAACCGAGCACCCACTAGAATGCCCGACCCTTTTTCCGTTCTGGTTAAGGTAAGTAATATCATGCTGTTATTCTAGGATCCATACCTTCGTGCTTTGAAATTAAATCCAAAATAATTTCATGCTTTGAAAATTTAATTTTCCTATTTAGGTGTTAAAAAACATAAATTCACCCTAAAATTACATTTAAAAATGGAAACAAATTAATGAATCAAATTTGAAAACAAAAAAAGAATAAAAATAATTAGATCTGGAAAAAAGATTAAATTGGAAACAAAATTAAAATTTTAGGGCCTTCAAATAATTATTTAAAAATTTTAAAATCATGAAAAACATGAATAATAAATAAAATAAGTAAGTTAGGAATTTTTGAAGTAAAATTCCAAAGTTAGGGCCATTTTATAATTAAAATAGACCAAGTCAAATTGATTTGAAGTGACCAAGGGTCTGGGACATTCTATATACTAAATATAGCATTAGGGAGCCAGATACAGAAACAGATTACAAGCACATCAAGATAAATTATATGCAGTAGAATAAATATTACAATCCCTTACAAATAAAATTTGAGTTCCAAATCTTACAATTTTAAGGTCAAAGTTTGGTAAAATAATAAATACAAGGTTCTTTAAAATGGACTCATCAGAGTGTGGAACAAAACATGCACTCGTAACGGTTCATGGATCCACGAGATCATCGAAGGCTTTAATGGGTAAATCAACGAGCAATTCCTCATTATTGTCCTCATCTGGGGGGGACATGGAAAGGAGTGAGTTTCATAAATTCAATAAGATAAATAGTATTTAAACAATGTTTTCTAAGATTTTTAAAATTGCTTAACCTATAAAGAAATGGTACCGTAAATCACTTACCATCTCCGACTGTTGTGAGTTCATTTTAGTATTAAAGAAAACATCTTTATTTTTTTTTTGGAAAAAC